TAAAATTTTGAGAAGGTATGGCCAGAGTAATGGGGGAATGAGGCGCATACATCATCCGAGGCACATGGAGTCACATGCTCACAACAATCTTTCTACAAACAGGAGTATAAAACTTCGTTTGTATCGATACAAACATATCTGATCGAGAGTAGTGCATCACAGGGCAGAAAAGCGCGCTTCGATATTGTGGATGGAGGTAGATACGTAAATATTACCGTATGAAGAATACACCGCCAGAAACACAATTAACATCACAGATACATCCCAGTATATGCTAATATAACAGTTGGCCGATGGTGGCATACTTCTAACGACCCAACTATATGTAAACACAACAGAAGCATCTGGCCCTTGGATGGTGTACAGCAACAACACGAACACAACAGCCTACACACGTGGAGTGCTGTATGTAAGTGAAGGTGTTTGAATGCAAAATATCAGCAATGAAACGCAAGACCTCACATATATGTAAGAAGATGCAAGAAGATGCTGTCCACGCACATACTTATTCGCAAGGTATTGTATTTAAATGTACTCACCACACACGCACATACTTATTCGCAAGATATTGTATATAAATGCACACACCACGCACGGACATACTTATTCGCAAGATAGTGTATTTAAATGCACACACCATGCACACACATACTTATTCGCACGATATTGCATTTAAATGTACTCACCACACACGCACATACTTGTTCGCAAGATATTGTATATAAATGCACACACCACGCACGCACATACTTATTCGTAAGATATTGTATATAAATGCACACACCACGCACGAACATACTTATTCGCAAGATATTGTATATAAATGCACACACCATGCACACACATACTTATTTGCAAGATATTGCATTTAAATGCACTCACCACACACGCACATACTTAATCGCAAGATAGTGTATTTGTATGTACAGATATTCTTACAGATAGGCACGCACATACTTATTCGCAAGATAGTGTATTTGTGTGTACTGATATACCTACAGATAGGCACGCACATACTTATTCGCAAGATAGTATATTTGTATGTACTGATATACTTACAGATAGGCACGCACATACTTATTCGCAAGATGTGTATTTGTATGTACTGATATACTTGAAGATAGGCACGCACATACTTATTCGCAAGATAGTGTATTTGTATGTCCTGATATACTTACAGATAGGCACGGATGAGTGGGAAGGTCTCGGCGTGGCGATCGAGGCGCAGTTCCGGCGATGTTGTGGCATCGACTGCGACAAACTGCAGACCATCGGAGTCGCCTTCTTCCTCTTTCACCTTCTCTGCCAACTTTTGGAAATGTGGCCGGAAATCCATACTACCACAATCCGGATGGATATTAAAATACGGATTCATGCATGAGACAAGAAAGCACAGGGTAAAGATGGATGTTACAGGAGGGTCTACTACTTTGTTCATATCGCAATATGAGCATATTCAATTTCATTACTTGAAGCAAAAACACACATACAATCCCGGCGCAGCTGTGAACGTATATATGGCGTTGCTGTTGGCCTGTATAGGTGATCCATCACTAGATAAGCTACATAGAGATATGCAGTACAATATACTTAAATAAGGACCGGATTAATCATGCTTTAAGCGAATAACAGATGATGTTGTATACGTACCACCCAACACAACCCAAAACTCAACACAACACCTGAAGATGGCCGTTCACTCTCAAAGCTAAGCGCATTTGAATACATGTTTATTCTTCTGGACAGTACATACGCGCACATCTGAAGGCATAAATATCCATTTAGTAGCTCCGAGTGCAATATCTAGCGACAGATACGGCACATACAAGTACATAAGTACACATACGTGCACACACACATATATATATAGACATAAAAGCCTATATAGAAACATATACATACACATATATAAAAGTAGACATTTACAAACATACATACGTACGTATATATGTATAAAATAGCATATATATACATATAAATATATATATATATATATATACATATACATATACTATATATATATGAATATATATATGAATAGAGTATATATATATATATATATATATACATATATGCGTCTGCCTATATCTATGATTAACACACTGATAGCACAATATAGTCACCTTCGCGAGTCCCACAAGCCATAATATAAGCAGACCACGAATGAAGTTGACTTCAGTGTGCCTTCCAACTGAGTAGCACCCAAATAAAGAACACCGTCAAGCTCTTTAACGTCCGTATCAACTAATTCAGCTGCCTGGTCTTTGTTGGTCTTATCCACTGCGATGATTGGCTCCGTCGCTCTGGGTTTCCAACGATCACACACAAAGAAGGTGAGATGCATTGACGAATTAGAAAGTTTCGGCACAACGAGCGCAGAGTGAGAAATACCAGAAACGTTGGAATATTCGAAGTTGCATATGAAGAGCCGACCTCGAATGCAATAGATTTGTACAGTATCAGATAGCACGATACAGAGGAATGACAACTTGTAACCTGTAAGTTGTACCGCAAACCATATATAGAAACAAATAGAGTCTACACTCAACCGTAATTTCTAAATACTAGATAATGTATCTCATATCTGCTTAACACTTGGAAATCAAGCTAATCATCTTTATCTATTCAGCTATCAACAAAGTAATCGACTTGTCTCTATAATACATCTAGACACTGGAGACCCATCATAATATACATACTGTATTAGCGACGCTAGTCCAAGCAGCACCAGAAGAAGCAAGGCACGCGGCCGATAGATACCCATAGTTTAATGCTGTTGCTGATGGAACAGTATGCTATACAACTGAAGTAGTGTTCGACATGTGCACTCAGGTATGTACTATTTCCTTTTTTTTTAAATCATGTTAAAATTAAGTTGCTGGTACTTGGTAATTGGTACTCTATCAGATGCCACACGATAAAGAATGAAACCAAAACATTCCTGAGTTCTGACTTCTGAGTCCCGAGTCCCGAGTCCCGAGTCCCAACTCAGAACGTAAGAAAACTGAGTTTATTCAGCAGTTAACTAAGTTCATGGTTTTTATAATATTCTTGAAAACAAAAACAAAAACAACAACAACGACTCACATTATGACATATTTTTAAAGTGTCATCAGTTGTGACATATTTTAGTTTGTTTCGGTTTATGTACAGACCAAAAAAAAAAGGGATGTGTCTGTAGTTCTGCACATATGTATTGAAAAAATACTCTGTAGTATTTAGTGTAAATAGTCTGTACTAGTTTTTTTTTTAAATAAATACAGACAGAGTAGCATAGAGAGTATTTAGTAGATTGCTTTAGTTTTGTAAAAATTAGTCACATATAAACTGATATTTTCATATAGTTGATAAACCACGTCTATTTACAATACTTGCGAAGTATTTTAAAACAGTTACAGAACACAGATTCATGTCAGATCAGTGAGATCAGCCCATTTTCCTATCAAAGGAGTTGACACAGGGACATGGCCCATGAGCAATTGGGCATTGGGCCTTCATGGGCATGAGGCTATGGGCCTATGGCCCAGCCGCAGGCACCCAGCGGGCCCCAGCCCCCATATGTCACTTGTGACTTTATGCAATCATTTTCTTATAATTATGCCACAGGAACTTGTTAGTATCCAATTAAAAGATTAAATACTATTTCAATAGGTTACGTTTAGCCAATCAAAGAATTTGGGATTAAAGTCGACTCCCTGTTTTCGACAGGTTCCACGTGAGGTTGGCATGATGATATCTGATAAAATCCTCAGACAATAATGACAGTAGAACTTCGCACTGAAAGTCACAAGTCTGAAACGTTCCGGCAGCTTCGAAATAAAAATATAACTACAGGACCCTCAAAATGGTGGCAAAGGTGGCCTTTAAAAATTGAACAAAATATACGTGTACATAGTAGCCGAATTCACGGCTAGAGTTGTCAAACTTCAACAAAAAGTCATCGTTTTGTGCACCTTACTGCACTATATTGGCCAGACGTTTGCATCAGCTACAAACGTAGAATACGCGCTCCGAGTGCACAGTATAGATATATTATTCTCCTTCGATCACCTCAACCGGATAAAGGTATCTACACAATTAATTTACACAGGGCTCTTAAATATTATCACTATGAACGCATCCGGGGATACCACCAGTGTGTGGGCCGACATGTACAACCAGATGGGTGATGTAATGACAGCCCTGGCAAATGTTAATGCTACACAGTCTGCAAATAGCTTGGATGATCTAATGAAGGAAGGCATGTACGGGAAAAAGTTGTTTACCAAGCCTCCGAATGGTACAAACGCCTTCATTACGAGTTCCATCTTCAATTCTTGTATCTTTCTGGGAGGGGTGTTGGCCTTCAGTATGCTGCGCCGGAAGTTCCCAGGTATGTTATAATACTCGACGAGTCTATCGTTATTTCGCTTTGTAAAATGGGTTCAACGATAAAGTGCGTTCTAAAGATGTATTTCGAAAAGTTAAACTAATTGGACATCGTGTACTACAGCCATCTATGAGCCACGCCGTACAGGTGTGATTCCCGATTCCAAACACCCTCCAAAACTCTCGAATTCCTTGTTCGGCTGGATTCGTACTATCCACAATATTACAGGTAAGTAATTAATGTGTTCAAAATATTTACGTACAAGGCGAGGCGTGCATTGTGGACCTCTCACTTGTGCCGTTTCTATTTCGTTTTGCATTAGTGCTATAAAGTGCAAATATTTTTCTGATGCATTGTAGGTACGGTTCCACCTCAGATTCTTACATATGATGCGTGAGTACACAGTAAAAGGAGATTTAAAGTATAAAATAATTACTACGTACAAATATGCGAGTATACGAGTTTTGTCTCAAAAGTGAACAGCTAGAGGTCTGATGTCATTCGTCGCGATAGCATCAAATACATCGGCTGAGATCCAACCTATGTCAATAAAACAGCATACGTACACATACACACACACACACACACACCACACATATATATTATATATTTATACAATATGTATATATAT